TCTGCTGAACCATGTCTTCTTGTGAAGTCAGTTAAGCCCATATGAAAACTATGGTGATGCCCTTGCTGACTCCATACTGCAGTGGGCAGCCCTGGAGAACTTCTCACGTTTTGCTAGTCACAGCTGTGCCTCACTTTAAAATAGCCTCTCTTCCCCATCACAGAAAGCACTGCGTGAGCTGCTGTCTGTGGTGCAGGCTCAGGACTAGACTGAATTTGGCAAGGAAGGACAAATTAAAAAATGAACAGCCTGATTTCTGTATAGCTAACTTACCAGCTCCTTCTCCAATATGTCTCACACTTGTTCTTTGTCTTTTAGGTGAGGTGGCTACTGTCTGCAATGGGAAGATCAACCAGTCCCAGTCTACTGAGGAGGCAACAGAAGCTACGGAGGTACCAGAGAATGGTACAAGCGAGGCAGAGCCTGCTCAGGCTCGGCCTGGGCCCCTCACGGAGCATGTGTTTACAGATCCAGTCCCTGCACAGGCATCTATTAGGCAGAACGGGTAGGCAGCCTGGGGCCAGAGTGCCATTTCAGTTATTTATCAGCTCTGTTGTCATAAGCTTTTTGATATGATAACCAGCCCAATCTTCTGATAAAGTGTCAAACTTTTTTCTGTTCTCTGCCCAAATAAGTATTACAGATGGGGTGCTAGGGAGAGAAAGAAATGAAATTAAAATAAACATGGTTTAGCCTGCAGCAGACTGTCTCAGCTGTTTAAGTGCAGATATTTGATCTCTCAGTATGAATTTAGACCTGCTGCTAAGGCAGATCTTCCAAAGTACATGTACTGGGACAAAGTCTGAGAAGGACTTGAGGGTACTGGTGAGTGAAAAGCTGGACATGAGCTGGCAATGTGCGCTCGCAGCCCAGAAGGCCAACTGTGTCCTGGGCTGCCCCCAAAGCCGCGTGGCCGGCAGGGTGAGGGAGGGGATTCTGCCCCTCTGCCCCGCTCTGGGGAGACCCCCCTGCAGTGCTGCGTCCAGCTCTGGAGCCCTCGGCACAGGAGAGACATGGACCTGTTGGAGCGGGGCCAGAGGAGGCCCCAGCAATGCTCCGAGGGCTGGAACAGCTCTACTGGGAGGACAGGCTGGGAGAGCTGGGGGGGCTCAGCCTGGAGAAGAGAAGACTCCAGGGAGACCTTATTGCAGCCTGCCAGGACTTAAAGGGGGCTTGGAAGAAAGTTGAGGACAGACTTTTTAGCAGGGCCTGTAGCGACAGGACAAGGTTTTAAACTGAAAGAGGGCAGATTTAGACTAGATATAAGGAAGAAATTTTTCACAGTGAGGGTGGTGAAACCCTGTCTGAGGTTGCCCAGAGAGGTGGTAGATGCCCCATCCTTGGATACATCCCAGGTCAGGTTGGACGGGGTTCTAAGCACCCTGGTCTAGTTGAAGATGTCCCTGCTCACTGCAGGGACTTGGACTAGATGGCCTTGAAAGGTCCCTTCCAACCCAAACTATTCTATGATTCCGTGATTCTATACTTAATGTTCCCACTGAAGGAGCTTATTGATTCATGTGTAAAAATGATGATTGATTTATTCTAGTAGTACCTCTAATGTACTGTAAAGATAATGAAGAAATATTCACCACCCAAAAATTCTTAAGACAGTTGAGTCTGATGTGATGGCCTAAGGAGCAAGGTGTAAATCTTGGAAATTGTTCCTATATGACCAAGTTGATATAAGTTGTTTCTGTTGAAGTTGGAAATGAACAGAGAAAATACTGTTTATATAATAGTACTGCCAACACTAGGTTAAGTTCTATACATTTGAAGTACTTTATATTTGTACTAGTGAGGAAGAAAGGACGTTTTGCAAATTGCAGATTCAGGAGTCAAGCAATTAAAAAACACTGAAGAGAAGGAAGTGATTTGTGTATACAAGTGCCCTTATATGCTTGTGAATGCCAGACTTGTGAGCATAGATAGGCATTCTGTGCGTTGCTGCTACTAAGGCCTCTAACAATGTTCTTTTGCCTCTTCAGGGAGAATGGGCAGCTGAAGACAGAGTCAAGCACGACGCTGCCAGATCAGGAGTTGAATGGGGATGCTGCTGGGACTTGCACCAGTGCTGCCCCCACCATGTGGCTGGGAGCGCAGAACGGCTGGTAGGTTTCCCTTGGGCTGGCAGATCTCTCTGTCACCTCTATTATCCTCTGGGCTCCACTTTTCATGTCCTCACTCCTTTAGTTCACTTCTTGTTTCTGGAGTATGTTTTCATTGCTCACTGTTGTTCTGAGCTCTCAGCTCATCATAGGCACAGGGATTTAACCTCATTTTCTTACCTAACCTCCACCTTTCCTACCAGAAGAAAACACTCAAGCCTAGTCAGGCTCAAGGTGTGGGGCCTTGCTGCTAACCCTCCCTGGTTTGTCCTTTCTTACAGGCTTTATGTGCACTCAGCTGTATCCAACTGGAAGAAGTGTCTGCACTCCATAAAGCTGAAGGACTCTGTACTGAGTCTGGTGTAAGTATGCATGCCAAGTGACACTGAAGGAGAAGGTTCAGTGCCTGAGTGATATTTTAGATGGGGGTAGCAGCTCTTTGTCAGTCATCTTTTTCTTTGCTTTTCTAAGTACATTGGTTTGTGAGGAATGTTTCCCAAGGTTTTTGTTATTGGAAAGCCTCATACCGAGCCATTTTCCTGTTCAACTGCAAACCTGACCCAATTCAGTGAATAAGGTACTAAATGAGGTTAGCAGTATCAGGAGGAAATAAGTGGGGACGAGAAAGGCAAAATTTCACTGCATTGTAAATCATGTGGAATTTGTTGAAATTGATGGAGTTTGTAGTGAAGGAGAAGTTAACCTCAACAGGAAATTTATGGATGATCTTACTACAACAGAGATAAGAGGTATGACCTTTGGCCCTTGCAGGATGTTCCTGCAAGTGGTAAGCTGAATGGGAGCTGTAGAGAGGACATAAAGATGGTGTGCATGATGTCGGAAAGGATTTGTTAGTCCCTTACTTCTACAAATTTTTCAAAATATTTACCTTTCTATGATTTCAGGCATGTGAAAGGGAGGGTTCTTGTTGCTCTGGCAGATGGAACACTAGCCATATTCCACAGGGGAGAAGGTAAGAATCAATGTAATAAGAGAAAACAAAACTTGGCTGAAAGTGTGGCAGTGGATTAAATGCTGTTCTGGATTGAGAAGGAAAGGTGCTGGCTTGCCGGAATACAAACACGTGGTTAAAATGCGTAGCTATTACACACATCTAATCCTTATCCTAAAACATCTAAGGCATACTTTAACACCATTTCCTGAGCTTTTCTGAACAAAACTATGTGTGTATGTTCTGTGTAGCACACGTGGACTGAATGCAACACTTCTAGGAATACGTATGCTGTACAGTTGTTTGAGGCATGCTTGGTAACTTTAATGCATTTGGGCCATATCGGTGTAACTGTGCATTGACAAATGAGCTGTAACAGGGCATGCACAGGGAACTCCACACAGACTGCACTGGAGCAGATCATCTGTGCAGTTGCAAATAGGCCTGCTGCTTCCCAAAGAAGTTTGACTCTGTATAAGTAGTGGAACTGATCACTGCATACACAGAAGGCAGAGCTGGGATTTGCTGGAAGGCTGGAAATCCCAAACAAAAGAAGCCTTTGCATTATACTTGGTCAGTTTTTGTTGTTGCAAAAAAGAGATGTCTGGGTAATCTGATGTGCCCTAATCTTGTAATTTTGAGATATTTTTTGAATTCTGTATTTCTTGTCCTCTTTACTGTTGTAGTTTTTGTTTCCCTATGACTTGAGCAGTTTGTGAGCTGTGTTCATACCTGAAAGTGCATGGGAATTTGCGAACTGTGACTAATGTTTGCAGTTTAAGAACATAGTTATTCATTGAGTAGCAGTTCATCCAGCAAGCTGAAATATAGAGATTTCTGGTTTTGTGCAATATAAATTTTGATTCAGCCTTTGTCATGAGTTCAAGCCTGACTAGTGACACACAAAAATTGTTCCTATCAGAAATAGGATAACGCTTCATGACACAGAGGCCACCTGTCTGTGAAGGACACAGTATCTGCCTGGTTAGTTAGAAAATAAACATGAGAGAAGGGAGATTGATTCCTTAAGCCTGGATTTGATACTTTGGGGAAATTATGTTGTCTGTCTGTGATATGAGGAAGCCTCACCACAAGGTCCATTTCCTTTCAAGTTTTTGCATAGTCTTTTTAGGCTGTCTTTTTTCCTCCCCTGCTGTTTTTGTTGTACTTGTTAGAGAAGCCTGTTCACTTCATTACAATAAAAGGATGTTTAAATTAGCCTGATTTGGAGAGCATTCAGCCCACCAAACTAAACTTTATTGTCATGTGTTTTGTAAGTATAAGGCTATGCCTGAAGTAGTATTGTGGATTCATGGGAAGTTAAGAGACATACGCAAAATGAACATTTTGAGTATTAGCTAAGCCTGTATACCTAGATATACAGGGAAAGGTAGATGATTCTGTTGTATACTGACATGTCATGAAGGAGTTGCACCTTTCCACACTTGTTTTTCACCTTAGATGGTCAGTGGGATCTCAGTAATTACCACCTAATGGACCTCGGTCACACTCACCATTCCATCCGCTGCATGGCTGTTGTGTATGATAGAGTCTGGTGTGGCTACAAGAACAAAATCCATGTTATCCAGCCTAAGACAATGCAGATTGAGGTAAGAGAGCAAATGTGCATATATGCATGCGCATGCTTGTGTTGTGTTTATTCTTATAGCTGTGTTCTGCTGCAGTGTATGGAAATGCAGAACCTTGAATGACCAAATCAGTCATTGCTGATTGTAGGACCCAAGCAGTCAATCTGGGTCATGTTATGACCTGATCAGCCAGGGCAGATATTTATTCCTTTCTCCCTTTGCAGAGATTAAATCTTTAGATAAGTCTAAATTGAGCACTTTCTTTGTCTTTACTAGTGAATCTATGAGGCCATGTACTGTACAAATGTATGTGTGTGCTTTACAGCTACCTTTCATATATGGTCTAAGACTTCTCCATCTTGTAGGCATTGTGGCACAAAGGAAGAGTACAGTTAGCAAGCCCCAGTGATCCCACTTGCCTAAGAAAAAAGTGACACTTAGAGCCTTTTTGTTGAAGTTCAGTACAATGGTGTTGGTACAAACCTGTTTGACAGTGCTTGGAATAATTATATTCAAAGGGAGAAGTGCTGAATCTGAAGTTCACACCAGTGAGCCAAAGCAGTTTGATCCTTGGAATTTATACTGGAGTTGTGTCTTTTCCTTTTCTACCAAGCACATTGAAAGCTGTTGGTTTCTAAATGTTCTTGCTCCTGAAGTGGTCTGCAAAGACGATAATCTCTGCAGAGCTGCTATACAATTCATCATTTCAAGTGAGGGATTTTCTGTATACTGTAGTAAACTTCTGAGGTCAGCTGGCTTTAACACATTTTCGTCAAGACCTTTGAAACTCAAACAAGTGATCTCAGTTCAGGAAAATGGAGTATATATGTAGATAATTGCAAACCTTTTGTGAACTCACATTGGTCCACTTATTTGGCATTTCAGAAATCCTTTGATGCACACCCTCGGCGGGAGAGTCAAGTGCGACAGTTGGCATGGATTGGAGATGGAGTATGGGTTTCTATCCGCCTGGACTCCACTTTGAGGCTTTACCATGCCCACAGCCATCAACATCTGCAAGATGTTGACATTGAGCCTTACGTCAGCAAGATGCTAGGTAAGGCAGTAGGGACTGTCATTAAGTGGTCTGTTGCCTACTGAGATCAGAGAGAAATCAAAACTCATTAGCAGACCTTGCCCAAACTCATAACTGACTCTCCAATTCTTATGCATGTTTACTAGGCACTGGAAAGCTGGGCTTCTCGTTCGTGCGGATTACAGCCCTGCTCATTGCTGGCAACCGTCTCTGGGTGGGGACAGGGAATGGTGTCGTCATCTCCATTCCTTTGACTGAGAGTAAGTAACATTTATTTGAGATACTTACACATTACCCCCCCTAAAACAAAAAACACTTTTGCATGTTATTTGTGCAGCATGGCAGATGGCTCTGTCAGGCTAATGCTTTCCAGACATTTTTACTCTGAACCTGACATACCTTTGATCGGAGCACTGTTCAGAGAGAAGGGCTCTGAGTATGAGCAACTCTGAACTTGGTTTAACTCTTTCCTTATTAAGGAATTAAGTGTTCAGTTGAATGGATTTAACTTGTTTAAAACCAAATAGGTATTTGTTACTGTCCCTTTTAGTTCAGTTGGAAGCCATTTCCTTCTTGGGGGACCAATGACATATCTACCATCAGTACAGTCGTCTTTTTTGAGTGTGACCTTGACAGAACAGGCTGATGTGAACTGATTCTGTAGCTATTGGAAAGCAGAAGAAACAAAGCTTTGGGAATTATAGTAAGTTGCTAGTAGGAGGCCATGGCATGAGAAGTCACCAGGAAGATCTCCCTGGAAATTTTGTTTTGGCATAGACATCTAAACGTGTCCATAACGGTATTTACCAGAAACCGACCTTAGAAAAGCTTCCTTTACTCAAATTAGGGCTCAGCTTTATCAAACCAGTAGAAAGCAGTATTCTGTGCCAAATCCAACCTAGTGAGGAGACCCAGCAGTAGTAGTTAATAGGTGCTTCTCCAGAGCTGGAAGTTTAGTTGAAGTTCTTAGTAATCCTGTTCTGTACCTGCCAGTCAGCATCTTATTTTGAAGGTCTGTTCAAGATTATAATGGGGGAGTAGCATTTGAAGCTGATTGGAATTGTTTCAACAGAAAGCAGCCAAATTTACATTTTCTCACCATTGCTCGCAGGAAAGCTGAGAAGCAAGTGGCTCTTCAAGGGGCAAACCTGTTGTAATCCTCCTGGAAGTCAGGGCTGAGATGGCCTCCTCTAAGGCTAGGGGAGCTGGATATGCCCGGGGCTGACACCCGTGACATTGTCATAGTGACACGGTCGTCTTTCTGCATTGCAATCTTGGTCTCATTTCTGAATCCCTGTTTTAAAGTCCGTTCTTTCTTAGGGCTGCTGTCCTAATTCCGAGTTAAGCTTGTTCCCTGCTGTAAACCAGTTGCATTATCTTTTGGTGTTTCTGTAAAAATAAGGTAAGCAGTAAGGCCTCACTAGAAACTTTAGCAATGGATCCTCGTGACCATGGTCCCTCTCCCATCTCAGATATTACATTTGTCCGTGTAAGATTAGAGCAAAGTGAGCAAGAACAGTGTTGGTGTAAACTGATCCAAGCCTGTAGCTCCTGTTGCAATTTCTCTAGGTTTTAGAAATTTCTGTTGCTCCCTGAATTTTCTCCCAGTAATCACCTTTTTCTTCTCTCCCGTCCTGCCTGTCTCTTCCTGTGCCCCTCTGTGTTCCCACTCCTTGCCTGTGCCTAGCTGTAGTCCTCCACCGAGGCCAACTCCTTGGGCTCCGGGGTAAGTCCATTGCCTCCTTCCTTCAGCTTTCACTCCTTTTGCACCTATCTACCTTTGCAGTCACTTTCCCACCCTTCCATCCTGCCATTCAGCTCTCTCAATCCGTTTTCCCCATCACTCTTTCATTTTAAGTTGCATCTGAGAAAAGTGACCAGAGACAGTAATGTCAATATTGTCCTTTCCCATGGCTAAAAACATTTTCATCGATCTCATCAGCCATCCCTCTGATTTTTTTGTGTTGAGTAGTTTATTCGAGATGGGGACTGTAAAAGTTCATTCAGTCAGAGAGTTCCAGGAAAACCAGGAATAGACTATTCTTCCAAGGTCTTCCATGGTCATCCTTGGTTTTCCAAGGATGATTCTCATCAGTTCCAGGCCAATGGCAGCAGGTGCTGCAGCGCCTGCCAGCTGCAAGTAATCAACCAAGACTTGTAACCAGAGGGTGCTTTGAAAAAAATTAAGAATTGTTTGGGTTTGTACCAGTTAAGACAGGGTCTGAGTTCAAATTAATGCTTCCTTAGCCTTTCCAGGGTCAGAAATGAGTGGGTTATTTCTCACTGTAAGACATTTCTGTGACTGTCCAGTCTCCTCCTTTTGAGGCATCTCATATTGGTTGCAGTAAGAAGCCAGGTAGTGAGCAAGAAGAAGTGCTAGTACCAGCCCCATCTGTCAATCGGATGAGCTCATCCAGTTGTAGCTGCTCATGGCAAACCAAAGTACAGAGGTTCAGAGAGCCTTCATTCTGGGGATCTTCCCCCTGTGCACACTGATTCTCATTCTTCCATCAAGGTATTTGTACTTGTCTCACCATCCTGGCTTGAGCCTGATAGGTAAAAGTCTCCTTTGTCCAAGTCACTTAATAATTGAAATCCAGCCCAAGCTAAAATACAGAACTACAGATAATTAAGCAAGCAATTGAGTTCTCTTACAGAAAATGAAAGCCTTCTGATTTTAGTACTGTTTCTGTTTTACTGATGTGGGTGCATGTGGAAGGAAAGCATTTCCCATCCTGAGCTCTGAGCATTGGTGTCTGTTCCTTGGTGAGTAGAAACAGTCATGTTCTCAGAGCATGGACATGAAGGATGCAGGCCCCTGAGCGCACCTTGAAATCCTTGGAAGCTGTGAACATCTTTCAGATGTTCACTGCTTGAGTAGCTGGTATTCTGGTATCACAGCTAAATCAAGGACTAAGGAAGGACTAATGTCACTCTACTGTTGTGACATTTACTGGGCTGAAAGACCTTCACCAGACCCAGAGACTGCTTTCAGCAGCCGGTGTGGTCATGGCTTGGGATGAGCAAGACTTAACTTGGAAACTGAGCAATTTCACCAATCCAGAAAATAGGAGTAATTCTTCTCCAGGTGCCCTTAATGTGTCATGGGTACAGTGGACATCTTTGGATATGCTGTCAGGTACAAAAGATCAAGGTTGATCTAGGACTGTAGGTCATATGTGGAGGCTGGACAGGGTTGCTGTTGGTGAAGAGGCCTTCACTGGGACACCTCAGAGACCTTGTGTAGCTTGCCCTAGGGTCACTCTTGCCCAGCACCTCCAGGTATGTGTGCCTCGTTAGTAGCCAAATACTAGATTTGATGAGAAAATGTAGTTTGTTATGAGTGGATTGTTACCAGCCTGAGAGGAACTGTATAGTCTAGTGTGGTCTTCTCCATCACACCCTTTACACAAGACCTTTAAAGGGACCTGTGCCTTTAAAAGTTTTCCTTCGTGGATCATGAGTTTTCTTTTTGGTCGAGTCCCTTCTGTAAATGGGACTCAAAGCCATTGCTGATAATATTCCTCCTCCCTGTCCCCAGCCAACAAGACCTCACCAACCTCTGGAGAGGGCAGCCGCTCTGGTGGGGTCATCCACGTGTACGGTGATGACAACAGTGACAAATCTGCCAGCAGTTTCATTCCCTACTGCTCCATGGCTCAGGCACAGCTCTGTTTCCACGGCCACCGTGATGCTGTCAAGTTCTTCGTTTCTGTGCCTGGTAAGGCTGAGCACAGCCCTTCCTCGTGTCTTGTCCCACCATACATTCTGTGGCAGAAGCTTGAGCTGATCTGCAGCAGACAGCTGTCCATGCCATTTCTAGTGCTTGCAGATCACTGTGGTTCAGACACTGAACTCAACACCAAACTGCAGTGACTTCCAGATTTCACCAGCAGGAGGAATTGGCCTGGCCAGCTATGTGTGTGTGTTTATGTGCGTGAACTGCATGGGGGCTGAGCAGAGGCACTGACAGCACCTCTGTTCTCTCCCAGGAAATGTCCTAGCAACCTTGAATGGGAGTGTGTTGGACAGCCCTTCGGAGAACCCTAGCACAGCAGCCACAGAGACTGAGGGGCAGAAGCTGAAGAACGTCCTGGTGCTGAGCGGAGGAGAGGGATACATCGATTTCCGGATCGGTGAGCACCTGTGGTGGGAGGCATCTGGAACAGGAAAGGGTGCAAGGCCATGGCAGAGGGATCAATGCTGTGGGGAGCGAAATATGAAAAGCAGTGCGCTCTGTTTCTCCTGCCTCTGGCTGTGAGGGCAGATAGCAAGCATTTTGTCTGCTTAGCACAAGGTTGCCAAACCCTGCCCCTGCCTGCCGTGCCTGCAGTGCCACAAAGTCTGTGTTAATGGCCCTGAAAAGAGTAAAACCATCTGTGCCACTGGTTCCAAACATTGCTGCCCCACTGTGGTCACCTGTGCTGCTCAAGGGCATTCTGTGTTGTAAACATTGGCTTTCCCGAAAGGAAGGGTAGTTTTCCCTACTGCTGGTCATGGTTTGTTCCATCCATACAGTCCTGCTTCAGAAAAGCACCATGTTGCTATAAATGTACTCGAGGCATAAAGGAAGGTCTCAGATCATGATGTCTGTTGTCGGACTACTGAGACCGTAGCAGGGATATTAGCCTCTTTGGAAGTATTCCAGGGCAGTGCAATTTGGGATTTTCTTTCTTGCCTTTTTTACTCTCTGTTTTCTCTGTTCAGGGGATGGAGAAGATGATGAGACAGACGAAAATGCAGGAGATGCCACCCAGGTGAAGCCAGTACTTTCCAAGGCTGAAAGGAGCCACATTATTGTGTGGCAGGTATCATATATCCCTGAGTGAGAAATTCTCCTTTCCCACCAATCTAAGTGTCCCTCCTCCCGCCTGAATGCCAAGATGTACATACAGAACGCCTGCATTATACCTACTGCTGGAAACCGACCCCAGACAACTGCAACGGCTCCTGCCTCGGACTGTGTCCCCTTTCTAACCTCTGAACTTGCAGCTTTCATCTTGGGCCCGTGCGCTTTCTGCGTGGTTGGATTATTGTTCTACTCTGGAGCTGGAATCTACAAGGAGAGAAATGGCAGTGCATTGATGAAGTGAAGCTTGGAGCTAGAACTGTCCAAAGCCTTTGCCCAGCGCTCTGGAGCTGGCAGCTGGATGGGTGGTGGCACAGGTTCTCTGGCAGGTTGCCTCACTCCCACCTGCATGAGAAGTAGTACATCCCCCTGGCGTCCCTCGCCAAAGCAGTGAAGGTGAATCACAACTTCTACAGCACCCTAGCAGAAATCCTTTCTACTTTACCAGTGGACTCTCCACTTTATTCACCCTTAAGCACAGAATAATGTCCTACGGACTGAGAGCCAGGTCTAGGGAACCTTCAACAGAAAGGAGTGTCAGGGTTTGGGCAGCACTGCTGCTGTTTGGTTGGAAAAGGCAGCAGTGCCGTTACTGTGGGGAATGCATCCTCCATATTTGCAGATGGGAAGTCTCCCTCCTCTGCTGCTGTTGTCTCAGCAGTCGTGTGCTGGGTGACTGTGTGTGTCTGGAGAGGATTGTTGGTAGCCTCAGATGGGAGACGGGTGTTTGATCAATAGAGGCCACAGGACCTTTGGAAACTGTGGTAACAAAGGGGTCCTAGAACCTTGCTTTTTTAAGAGCAGAAAAGGCAGCAATGCTTTTAACTCCCCTTTCCAAAAATGCCAGTCAGGAAAGAACTCGAGTTCATTCTGAAAGGTTCAGGAGAAAGCTATCTCTGCATAGCATTTGTTGGCTTTTGAAACACAGGCGAGGGCAGATAATGTTGATCTGCTGTGAATTCTGCATTAACATACTGAGATTACCTTGACTTACAAGGCTGTGCCCCCATCCTGCAAACTGCTGAAGGAGATGGCTGTTTTCCTTGATGCTGTGGCTGTCGGTTAGGAAAGACTGTAGGTGCAGTCAAGGTATAGAAAGGCTGTGTCTCGCCTGAGGTCACACAGAAAAAGGAATTGAGGCCAGATCTCCTGACCTATTTTACCTAACATTGTGAGCTGACTGACTTTGTTACTAAGTAGTGTGAAAAGCTGGAAATTTCTGACTCCTGAAAAGAATTGACAACCCCCGAGAAAAATTCTGACGGCCCTCCTTGTGTCAGCAGTGCTGGGGGGTTGCAAATGTGTGTCCTGCTTACAAGAGAACCAGCAAAGAAATGGGGCCAGGGAAGGCAGTTTTGAGCTCCAGATGCAGAACATGGCAGCTCCAGATGTAGAGGCAATGGTTTGTCCTCCCTTTCTGACAGTGGAAACAGTCCTGTCTCCACAAGGACAAGTTCCATTTCCTTTGAACACTCCCTCCTGGATGTGTAGGACTAGAGCGAGTAGCAGTTGTTAGCAATGAATTTGGAAGCTCCTGGTGGTCATCTTGTTTCTTCCCTGAGCTGTGTATCACGCTGGGGTTCACAGGGATGTCCTTGTGCCCAGAAAGCTCCCAGCCGTGTTCTGTGCTTGTTGCCACAGACCAGGCTGCTCAGCCTTTAGACCAGGCTGTGGTCTAAAGCTATTTTTGTGCTGCAGGGATGCAGTATTCCCAGGGGAAGCTCTAACATGTGGCATCTGTCCTGATGCAGCAGCACTGAAATGCTTTTTGGATCCACAGTTCAGAAAAGGCTTGGGCATACATTTCCCCTGCAAGGAGGCAAGAGGACATCTTTGGAGAACAGAGGCCTCAGCCACCGAAGTACAGAGCCACAGTGGTGCCCACGCTGCCTGTGGGCAGCGCTGCTGACGTGCACACCCATCCACACCAGTTTTCACCAAGGTATGAAACCAGCTGGACAGTGTCCTCCAGCCATTGGCACACTGGGCTCTGTGGCTGGCATTTGGCTAAGGGATGCCTGGAGCCGACACTTGCGTGCAGCAGGGACCTTTCACCAGGGCACTGCTGACCGTGCCAGGCTTCTCGTTCACTTTCCCAAAATGCTTTCTGCTAGGAAGAGCTCTTTGGATCACAACACAGAGTGCATTAAAATTAACAAGATAACATTTAGACCACAGATCCCACAGACATGTAATGGTTCATCAGTTAAGGCCAGATAAACTTCATAATTTGGGCTAATTGAAGGGAAAAAAGAAAGCCCTAGTAGGCCCAGTTCCTTAGCTCTATTGACTCTTCCATAGGAAAATGCAGAATTGCAACGTTCTTACCTCTTACTGTTTGTTCTGTATCTGGTTTTAGCAGTTGAAGTGACAGTACTTGGTCTCTTGTCACCCACTGGGCCCTGGCAACATAAGGAAAATGGTCTTGGGCCTCTACCAACAGGTTCCTTTCCAGCTCAGAGCATGTTTTCCTCCAAGAAAAGCACATGTCCAAGAGGGGCAGCTACAGCTAAGTAAACCAGCCTCTGCTGTCAGCATCCATGGCGTTTGGTGGCTGCTGGGCAGCAAGGTGAGAACTGACTGGCTTCAACACACTTCCTTGTCATATCTCCACTGTGATGTATGTAAAGTACCTTGTATGTTACAAAAGGATTTTAAAAAGTGTCTTAAGGCCTGTAAACTCCGCTATTTGATCTGAAGATGGCATTCTGTAAAGAGACTGCTGTATGAATACGTTCCCATGCTTTGTCCCCTGTGCTATCAAACAACAAACCATATCTGTTCTGTATGTAATAAATGTGTTAACATCAGCAAGCGCAGAGCATCTTGTTCTTACAAAGGCACTGGGATTTCTCCTCAGACTTTAATAACAGCAAGACACTTAAAAGGGTGGGAATGGCAGCTCAAGTGTTCACCATTGAGCGATTTAGTGGCAAGAAATGAGATGTGGACTGCTCACTGGGTCAGAGCAGAAGGGGCTGGTCCTGCAAGCCATGGAGCAATCTGTAACTGCTCCCAGCATCAGAAATAAAAGGTGGAAAAGACAACAGTTCAGCACCTGGCTAGCTGCAGCTGTCCTAGTGGTGTCCCCGTCAGGTGAGCTGCCAGGGTAAACGCATTGGGCTCAGCTTTCAACACTCAATTTTCCGGTGTCCCTTGTCAATACAGAGTGGTACTTCACAAAGTTCCATAGGAATCGGTGACATTCAGCACTGCAGGAAGCGAGTTCCTCTTAGTCCCAGCACCACTTAGACACGGTTATATTTATTATGCAGAACTGCATTAATTCAAGGGCTGTACATAGCAATAACAGACAAAGGAGCCACCTCCTTAAACCACGAGTGGTTTCTGCCATGAGCAGGGGTCCCTAAGGTGCATCACCTCCATGACTAACACCTGCACTGCAGTCCTGTGCTGGCCAGGGTGATGTACAACAGCAATGCCTCTTGGGTTAATACGAGCACCTCAACAACGAGGTTTGGAAACAGACCCTGGGACCCATCCTGCACCCCCGGGGCTGCACCCTCCAGTACAGCCAGGAGCAGTTTGAGCAAGGCACTGGATGAAGTGCAGCCATGTCTGGCACCAACCTGGGTGGCTGAGGGAGGGGCTCACTACTGTCATCCTTCAGACAACCACCCCCCATGCTGTTAAATGATCCAGGAGGTTAATACACAGGTTTGAGAGTCCCAGCACAGCAACCAGCATGTTCAAGGCATTGAACATGGCAAACTGGGGCTGCACAGCTTTCCAGAAGGGGACCTTCACCATTGGACAAGGCTCTTGGGCTGCCCAGGGCTCTGTGTGAAAATAATCCCTGAAGTGTTAAGGCCCTGGGGTCACCAGCAGGCCATCATTGTCCTGATCAGCTCCCACATGGGCCCCCATCCACACACGGGCCCTCTCCATCCATGGCCCAGGAGCCTCATCTTAAATGAGTACTTAATACTGGCTGGGGCCTTCAGTGTTTGCCTGAGCTACACTCTAGCTGTGTCTGTCTTCAGCTGCTCCTCAGTGGACCCCTTGGACTTTGGTTTTGGAATAGATGATCTTCAAAGGTCTCTTCCAACTCAAACCATTTTATGATTCCACGCCTTATGGTGTATTACCTCCATCTGCTTTTGCTCTTGGCTGTGCTCCCTGGATGGACCCTGGTTATGGGACATCTCTTGCCTTGTCTGGAGCTGTTGGTGGACCCTGTTACCAGCACTTGGCTCTGCTCACTGTCATCAGACTCTCTGAACCTGTCCCCCATCAAGGAGGGCACGGCCTGTGCTGGGGTTGTGTTCAGCTCCTGGCTGTGCAGGACAGAGGACTCGTCCCATCTAGCTCATATCTACACCTCCTGTCCCACCTTGCTCGTCCTTGGTTTGTGTGCTGGTTCAGTAGCACCCCAATCACAGTAAGGACAGGCAGCAGCTCAGCCTAGCACCTGGAAGCAGAGGCTATGGAAACCAGAGAAGCTGTTTTTCCATCCACGGCAGCTGCAGCGGGAAGTCTCACAGCCTCAAGCTGTTTGTGCCTTTAGTACCTCTCTGGATTTTCCCTCCCCTAGATTCTCCCATTGCTTCTGAAGCCAGTGAACCAGCCCTGGCATGTGTCCTGCAGCACTTCTGCCATGACAGGGGTCAAGAGCCCAGCTCTTCCCAGCCGTCATGCCTTGTCATAGGACCAGCTTTTAACCCAGGAGAAAAGTCTTCCCTCTTATCCTATAGCAGCTTAATCCCTCAGGAACCTCTGGTGAGGAACCCCATGAAGTCCAGGTAGCTGATGTTGATCCGTTTGCTCCTGCCTGATGACAGCCTTTTTCCTGGTGGCTGGGGACACATGTTCCTCTGCCTCATCCAGGCCTGCCACGCACACTGGGCAGGGTACAGACTCCAGGCCTTGCTTTCTCACAGTAAATCCCTTCAGGCTACTTGTAATTTTGGGATGCTGCAGCAAATGGAACAGCACCTCTTGAGTACCTACTACGGCAGACAAAAGAACTACACTAGCTACTTCCACAACGAGCTGATCTTTAGTACTACAGACCAGAACTCTTGTGGCCCCTCCACCCACACTAGACCCTCCAACAGTTCCTGACACAGCAGCAGAATCCATAGCCACTGCAAGAGGAAATTAAGGAGTTGCATGTTTTAATGTTCACAACATGCTGCACTGGAACAAGTGGTAATTTATGATTGGCTTCAAATAGTAAGAGACAATCCTGTACACTTTGCATCACTAGAATTAAAATGATTTCTTCTATCTCCCGACAGCCATCTGTGGGAATAAGAGATGGATAACTTCGTATCCAAAGTCAAGTTGTGTTCCTGCCATGTTGTTCATTGCCAT